TATATATATATATAAAATAAATGCAAAACCTTTTTTGAAATATGTGTAGGTCCCCTTGTGAATGTTTGTGTGTTATGAGTTGCTGCTGTGCATGTAGTCCAAAGCAAATTTCCTTTAGTGGGACAGTAAAGTATATTTAATCTAATACACTTATCTGTAAAAATTATTAGCTACATGTAAGAACTGAAGTGGTAATGTCTCCCTGGCTTTAGGTAGCTTTGAAAGTGTGTGATGTTAATTTTCTGTATAAATTCCAGTACTACTATGCCCGTTTTATAAGTATTTCTACGTGGGTGCAAATATAACTGTGTGTTCACAGAGGTGTGTCTGTTTTGTACAAGTGTGTGTTATGTGAAGTAAAACCCTAGAAGTTTACTTAGAGTGTATTGATCCTGTTACGGTGTGCAGTTCTGCGTGTGTGTTCATGTATAAAGTGTGTTTCTCTAGATTGTCCTTGTCTGTCCCCTTGATTTATAGCGTGTGTGTGTGTGTGTGTGTGTGTATGAGTAGTAGGGAATATATGGCCACTTTGCAGATGAGGCCATGGTTTATTGCCGCAGTATCATTTAGCTAATGGACACCATTTCTATTCTGTGTCGCTTTCTGTCTTTCCTTTCTCCATTTCATTCAATACACTTAAATATAATTTACATTTAAACTAAGTATTTTGGGCAGGTGCTTTCTTACCAAAGTGACTTGTGGAGGCAATAATATTTAAGTTGAACATTAGCCACAAACGTAGAGCCAAAAGAAGATAAGTCGAGTTAAGACAGCCTGAATGATGAATTTAAAGAAATATATTTATGAAGATATTAAGAAATATATATATATGACATATAAGATATGTTTTTGTGATGCCTTGTTGGTACATTGGTATAATTTCCCTCTGACAAGTATGCTTCCTTTTTTAGTAAAATTGCAACTGTTTGTCAGCGTTGTGTATTAGGTGCTGCATTTATCATTTGTGTAATATTTTCAGTGACCTTCTCTCTTTTGGAAATAGAAGCACAGTATTTCTGAAAATCATTTAATATATTGTGCCTGCTGAGTGCTCACTAAAATAACTTGCATCTCTTAAGAGTCATTCTTGCACAATTCAGGAGATCCACTGCTGTTTCCAATGTCATTTTGTGTGATATATTCTCTCTCTTTACCTCAGGATATCTTCCCAATGGGATTCATGCTGTTGAGGCTATGCTTGCTGCTGCCAGTATAGGTGCCATCTGGAGTTCAACCTCTCCAGATTTTGGTGTCAATGTAAGAGCTTTACATGCATAATAGTGGCTATTTACCATATGACAACTATAATATATAATTTTTTTTAATCGTGTGAAATATACAATGAGCGTGTAGCAGCCACTTAGATTTTTTCTGTGAGATGTGGATCATCAGAACATGTAAAATATACAGGCTAGATCAGGTCAGCATGGTATTTCACTTTCATGTTGATCCAGGGAACATACATGTTTCTGAAATAAATACCTAATATCTGACCCGGCATTCATATGCCCACATGCCTCCATATTTACACTGGTGCAGTTTGTTGTCATGAGCTTCCACTTTGTTCTAGTCTAATGTATTACAGTAAATGCACTTTATATATCCCACAAGCAAAAATGAGTAAATAAAAAATAGAGTAATATTCCGTCATATTATCGCAACATGTCTAACCCCATGTACAAAAAAAGTAGGTCATGATACCATCAATTCTCGCTGTCTTCAAATGTGTGTGTGACCCGTTAGCTATGTCAGACATTCTGTCACACATACACACACATTACTTCTCGCTCCTGCCTCTCTGCGTCTCTCTCTCACATACACACTTCTATGAGGAGATTAAAGTAAGTCTACAGCCCCCTCAGGGCTGAGGTTATTCCGTAAATAGGACAGGCTCTAGCAGATAAAGCTACATAGATTCGCCAAGGCTTATTGACTAAAGTAAACTCAGTATATACATTGCTGCCATCTGTGGTTAAGTCAGGGTACTACAGCATATTACTGCAGCTAAATGGAATCAATGTGGCAATTGTGTGTACACTAACTGTTCAAAAGTTTGGGCTCAGTAATATTTTTTTTAATGTTTTCTTTTTTTTTAAGGCTGCATTTATTTGATCAAAAATACAGTAAAAACAGTAATATTGTGAAATATTAGTGTACACTAACCGTTCAAAAGTTTGGGCTCAGTAATATTTTTTTTTATGTTTTCTTTTTTTTAAGGCTGCATTTATTTGATCAAAAATACAGTAAAAACAGTAATATTGTGAAATATTACAATTTTAATGTTAAAATGTGATTTATTCCTGTGATGCAAAGCTGAATTTTCAACAATCATTACTCCAGTCTTCAGTGTCACACGATCCTTCAGAAATCATTCTAATATGCTGATTTGCTGCTCAAGAAGCATTTCTTATTATCAGTGTTATGACTTTTTTTATGAATGAAAAGGTTCGAAAGAACAGTATTTATTAGAAATATAAATCTTTTGTAACAATGCAGAAGTCTTCACTTCACTTTTGATCAATTTAATGCATAGTATATAAATGAATAAACATTCATTTCTTTAAAAAATCTTACTGACTCCCAAGTTTTGAACTGTAACTGTAACTATATAGTGTGTATATATAGTTTTTTTTTTTTTTTAACAATATGGCCTATTTTGTGTGTGTGTATGTGTGTGTACTGTACCTTAGGTATTTTTTTCTATCATTTATGTGTCTATTTTCATCTTCAGGGAGTTCTAGACCGGATTTCTCAGATCCAGCCTAAGTTGATATTCTCAGTAGCAGCTGTTGTGTATAACGGCAAGCAGCACGACCATATGGAGAAACTCCAGAATGTTGTTAAAGGTATACAGCACACATTTCAGCTCACGCAAAGCTAGATTTTTCCATCATGTTATTATGTTGATATATTTGCATTTCATGGAGCCGCATATATTTGTTTTTTTCCCCCATCATCTCTCTCAGGTCTCCCTGACCTGAAGAAGGTTGTGGTCATTCCATACGTTCGCTCTCGACAAGAGACTGACCTCTCCAAGATTCCCAACAGGTCTGTGCATCTATATGTGTTTACAATCATATTTCAATACATCACATTTCTTTTTATTATATATTGCATTGATGCTTACATTTGCATGTACAAGTTAAATTCACTTGACAAAATATGTTCATTTGTAATGACCTAAAGTCATAAAGCATAGATGACACTTGAGACAAGCAATGATTAAGAGTTTTCGGTGTAATATACTACATACATGCACTATCGTTCAAGTTTGGGGTCAGTACAGTTTTTTAATACTGTTAATTAATACTTGATATTAATAAAATTGAATTAATAAAAAAATGTATCAGTTTGCACAAAAATAACTGTTTTCAACATTGGTAAAAAATGTTTCTTGAGCAATTTAATTCTTAAGGATCATGTGACACTGAAGACTGGAGTAATGAAGCTGAAAATTCAGCTTTGCATCACAGGAATACATTTTAAAATATAATAAAATAGTAACATTTTAAGTTGTAACAATATTTCACAATTTTACTGTTTTGTATTATTATTTGATCAAATAAATGCAGCCTCGGTGAGCATAAGAGACTACTTTCAAAAACATTAACAAAATTAACCAACCCCAAACTTTTGAAAGTTAGTGTACATATGTATAAAATACATCACTATATTGTAAGATTTATTATTAAATATTTACATACTGTAACCTTTCAATCCTGCTATCTAAATATCTGTTGCATTGTTTAATATAAATTTGGTTGTATTTTATGGACATTCTTTACTGATATTTAACCTGTGATCGTGATAATTGCATTATATTAATTGTAAGCTACTACTTCGAACACACATTAATTTGTAATCTCTCTGTTCTTAAAGGGATAGTTCACCCAAAAATGATCTTTTTTTTCCCCCCAAACCTGTATGACTTTCTTTCTTCTATTGAACACAAAAGAAGACTTTTCATTTTGAAGAATGTTGGTAATCGAGCAGTTGCTGGTAGCCATTGACTTCCATAGTATTTTTTTGAAGTCAGTGGCTGCCAGCAACTGTTTGGTTACCAACATTCTTCAAAATATCTTCTTTTGTGTTCAACAGCAGAAAGAAACCTAGGTTTGGTTTGGAACAACTTGAGGGTGAGTAAATGATGACAGAATTTTTATTTTCGAAATGCTGTCCCTTTAAGATGGCTGAATATCCTGTGAAATCAATTTTTCGTATCTCTAGTACTTGTATTTTGCCATTCTTCACTTATAAATCACTTTGGCTAAATCAATACATGTTAATTGTTTGTTAGCCCTTGTTAAACTGACAGAATAAATAATTTAAAATGTTTCTATGAAGTTTCAGTTGGGTTTTGCTTCCTCTCTCAGTGACAGCTGCTGCTGCTGTATGTTCAGATGAAATCTGAAGTGGTGCTGTCTGGTTAGGACACAGTCAGTCCTAAGTCCTGACTCTCTGTCTCCTTTACTTTTTCTGTCAGTGTGTTCCTGGATGACTTTTTGGCCATGGGTAAAGAAGGGGATCAGGACCCTCAGTTGGAGTTTGAGCAGCTGCCCTTCTCTCATCCTCTCTTCATCATGTACTCTTCTGGTACCACAGGAGCTCCCAAGTGCATGGTGCATTCTGCTGGGGTGAGTGTGTGCGCGCACCTAAGACATTGTGCAGAGTCCAATTTGATATATTGTACTCTGTGCAATTACTTCTTGATATATGCATTTTCGAGCACCCTGAGCCAAACATGATGTATAAGGAAAGAAAATACAGATTGCAAGCATTTGTTTTGCAGGTGTACAAATATCAACAGCTAAATTATCAGTTTTTAATGTAGGAACTTATTGATGCATTTTATTTGCTTAAAATTGTGTGTGTGCATGTACTCATAGACAGGGTTTAGGGCAATGTTTTTAAAATTAAAGCCATAAAAAAAATGTTTTTGTTAATTGAAATAAAGCTGAAATTAAATATAAATATTAGATGAAAAACATAGACTTGAAAAGTGAAAATGAGAAATGTTTCCTTGAAAATCAACTTAAACTTTTTTTAAAGGCAAGTTTATTTATATAGCACATTTCATACACAATGGTAATTCAAAGTGCTGTATATTAAAAGGTTTTAAAAATAATTCTAAAACAATCGTAACAGATTAAGACACAAAATTAACTATAAAAAAAAACTAAGATTCCAATAACAACAACAACAACAATTTTTAATATAATTCAAAACAAAGAAAAGAGGAATAAATAGATGATGCTGTGCATTTTATTTCAGTTAAAGTACTAAAACTGAAATAAAATAAAGCTAAATATGAATATATAAATATGTCTTAAACTGCTGCATGATTTCTGTAAACATCCCTCCTATGCATGTTGGTCATCATGCGCAAAATCTCTTGAATCACCAATATTGACCACAAGATGGCAATAAGAGGCAATTTTAAAACCTGACACCATAAACCAGATGCAATTGGGATGAGCAATTATGTGCACCATTCTCATCCCTTCTGAATGCATTACCTGTGTAATCCCAACATTAGGGACACAGTAGCCCACATGAGTCTAAATCAACCATTCTTTCTTGACATACCCACAATTTCAATTCAAAAATCAACATTGCACAGAAAATTAGTTTGAAAAATCAGGGAAGGCAAAAGCAGTGCTTGATCTTTTTGCTTTTTTGTGCTTCACAATCACACTTCATATGCGCTTGGTCAGTTTTAATTTTAATTTTTCACAGATTTTCCCTTTAGCCTTTGTGGCATTTGTGTCTGACGCCTCTCTTGCGTGCTGGATAATTAGAGCGCTGTGTCTATGAAAACACAACACGTGCAGCCACGTTTCTCTCTTCTCGCTCTATGGATGATCAATGTTCAGTGAGCTCTTATGAAAACAGTACTCGTGTCGGGTTATGGCTGTTAGCGAATGAATGAACACGCTAGCAATTAATGCTTTCGCTAGGATACGTGTTAGTTGCAGGGCATGGTGTTAGAAAAAAGGAATGTGTGGTTTTTTTTTAATCCATGCAGTGTCGCTGATCCTTTAGTTTGCTAATTAGGCCGTTCCCTGCCTGCCAGAATACCTCTGAACGTACAACACCAGCACATGAGAAAGAACTTGAGAAGAACATGAGATTCAGAAAAACAAACACATGCTTTGTGCTTTGTGTTATGTCGCCTCTGATTGATATCGAAGACCTCTAATTTTACTTGATTCTGAGTCCTTGATTCTGATTGGTTGAGCCGTGTTCGAAGCTGTTGTACTCTACGAACAAACACCTTTGTTTACTTTGTGTGTTGCTTGGCAACCACTTTGTTGCAACCACAACTGTTTCTGAGGAACTACATTGTTTGGTGGAAGAATACAGTTTTTATTAATATCATTACACTTTATTTGCTCTGTTTTATTTTGTGAAACCTAACTACGTATATGGAATAACCATTTTATAAAAGCAATAAGCCCCGTGAAGCGTGAATTCTTGGGGCTTATTGCTTTATTTTCTTAGCCATTTTTCCACTCAAGGTGATTTGTAATGGATGTATGAAGTCAGCTGTCCTCAGGTTCACACAGATGTCCTAGCAAAGTAACCACAGGTGTAGTTCATCACATTAACTGTGACTGTTTCACCAGTCTGACCCTTTTTTTCTCCTTTCCCCAGGGCACTCTCATCCAGCATCTTAAAGAACACATTCTCCATGGCAACATGACCTACAGTGATGTCATCATATATTATACTACGGTATGTATCTGCCTTCTTAGATGCAGTAACTATACCATCTCGGTGGAAAACAGCATCTTTCTCCAATGCCATCTATTCAAAAGTAGCTGTGCTGTCTGACTGAATCTTTATAAGCACCATACAGTATGCCTTACCGTTCAAAAGTATGGTTTTTGAAGTCTCTTTTGCTCACCAATGCTGTGCCTGAAATTGCATACTTCCCTACTACAGTATATAGTATGCGAAAACAGTATGTGAGGCGAGTAGTATGTCCGAATTCATAGTATTCGCAAAACAGTAGGTGAAAAGTACCCGGATGACCTGCTTCTTCCGCTCGGATTCTGAAGTGCGCATACGATGGACACTTTGAGGCCACGGGAGAGGATTTATAGAGGAGAGGATTTAATATTGTGAAAAAATTTTACATTTTAAAATGTTTTCTATTTTAATATATTATAAAAGAAAAACTGAATTTTTATCAGCCATTACTCCAGTTATCAGTGTCACATGATCCTTCAGAAATCATTTTAATATACTGATTAGCTGCTCTAGAAGCATTTCTTATTATTATCAATGTTTAAAATAGTTGTGCTGCTTAATATTTTTTATAGAAACCATTATACATTTTTTCAGGATTCCTTGATAAACAATTTATTTGACATTTTTTTGTAACATTTAAAAAATCATTACTATCACTCTTGATCAATTTAATGCATCCTTGCTGATTAAAAGTATCAGTTTCTTCAAAACTTTTGAACGTTAGCAGCATGTAAATTGCTTACTTCTACAGGTATTATAGAACTCGTGTTTTTGATGTGATTGATTAATGTTATTTTGCGCCACTCCCACAGTCTTAGTTATTACATAGAAAAAACTATTTCAGAAAAAGTAATTTCAGAGGCAGAGAACATTATTACATTTTGATGAAAGATTTTAAACAAACGTACTACTTTAGCATGACGTACACTGATGAATTGTTCCCAATAACACTAGGGACATTTATTAATAAATCAGATTAACATAATTTGCCATTATGTCTTTGTTAGGACAATGTATTTTCTTTCCTTTTTGTCTTTTAGTAAGGTTCGCAAAATGAAGATACACACAATTTCTGGGCAGTCCAGTTTGATATTCAAAATGATATGGTCCATTTTGAACACTGTTTGTTAAACTTTGCCGAGTAGTTGGTGTGTTTACCCAGTCTGGTCAGACTCAGGACAAAAATGTATTCTCTGACCCAATCTCTCTTTTTATGTGCAGACGGGCTGGATGATGTGGAACTGGCTGGTGTCCTCTCTAGCTGTTGGGGCTTCTGTGGTCCTGTACGATGGCTCCCCTCTTCTTCCCAGTGCCAATGTGCTCTGGGACCTTGTAGACCGTCTGGGGTAAGTAAATCTGTGTGTGTGTGTGTGTGTGAGAAAGACACTCTATAATGAAGGTGTCACAGTCAGGAGCTTCAGTCACTTTTTTCCCCCCCTCATGCCCCTGCTGTAATTGGCTGAGGTGTGGCAGTGCTTCTCACCAGCATCTGCTGTGCCCTTTGTGTAAATGACACCACATCACCACGGCAACCTGATTTAAAGAGATGGGTCTAATTGGCCACCTTTAATGTGGCATCGAGTTCCTTTCAGAGTTTACCTGTTATTGATCAGAAATGATCAAAGTGCAACAGACACTGGAGTTCCTTTGGATCACACTTGATGTGTGTGTGTGTGTGTGTGTGTGTGAGATCATTTTCAGCTCCCATGGCTACTGGTGAAAGCCTCTATTCTTAACTCTCATTGTCTCGCTTCTTCCCAAGAGAAAGAAAATAGAGACATTTTTGCAGCAGCTTTTGGGAAAGCCAAAATACACACACACACATTTGTATTACTCACCAGACCCATATGTGCTGCTTAAATCACTTCATTTCAGAGACATAATCATTTTTTACATTTTTTAATTAGGGCTGACAATCAATTAAAAATAATATATAATTAATTGCATACAAATTAATATAATTAAATACACTGGCATTCAAAAGTTTGGGGTCAGCAAGATAATTTTTTTAATGAAATTAATACTTTTAATCCACAAGGATGCATTAAATTGACCAAAAGTGGCAATAAAGACATTCACATTCTATTTCAAATAAATGCAGTTTCCACTAAAATATTAATCAGCACAACACTTTTCAACATTGATAATAAGAAGTACCAACTCAGCATATTAGAATGATTTCTGAATGATCATGTGACACTGAAAACTGGAATAATGGCTGCTGAAAATTTAGCTTTGCGATTTACACAAATAATTTACATTTTACATGTATTAAAATAGAAAATATTTTTCAGTTGTAATATTATTTCACAATATTGCTGTTTTATTTGATCTTTGATCAAGTAAATTCTGACTTGTGAAGATAAGAGACTTCTTGCAAAACAAAAAAAGTCTTACCAACCCAAGACTTTTGAATGGTAATGTATGCGAAATGCCAATTTAATCATATTAATTGCAAAAAGCTCCTAAATAAAGAGTCAATTTCAAGATATAGCATTGTGGCAAACGAGTAAAGCATTGAATAGATGTTACAAAAAATGACTTCAGTTTGTTTTATTTCCAAATAATTTAATGTAAGCCTATCACAGTTCTACAGGTTACCGCAATTGAGTTTGTCAGTCTGTCTGAAGTTTACACATCATGCATTCTAGCATTTATGCAGTATTTTTTTCTTTTTAATGTTGGTCTGTGGCATCTTTGGCCATTTCTCAACTTTTAAAAACATGTGTCAAAACCTCTGAGTTCAGTTCCATGCCATTGCACTGAGTCTTGCTATATTGAACGCAAGATTGCATCCTGTGTGAACTGTTTTTGAGCGGTCTGCTCTCAGTAACTGTGATTTGGCGAGGCGTGTTGCCTGTGATAGCAGCTGAGCTTCAAATTTGAATTGCTTCAATGGTATGAATATTTCTTAATGTGGAATTTACATATGGGTCAGAGGGCATGCTTAAACTGTTGTGTTTTTAATCACGTTATTTTATATAGATATTAATTGTATTAAGTGGATATGTTAAATTTAACAGTCCTACTTTTAAAAGGCAGCTCAGGTTTGTATCTGAGAGTCTTTTTATTTGTCTTTCTGAGTTTAGCTTTGAGTTAGTCCTGTTGGTGACACCAATTAAGTTCTTCCTCTGGGCAGTATAGGGTTTATTTGGAGTTTACGGAGATAGTGAAAAGACAGTTCATTTTTAAGTTTAGTGGATACGTCATTATTCAGTGTAGTTCAAACCCACAACCTTTTAATTCCAATCAACAGTCTATAGATAGAACCAAGTGCCCTCTACATTTTTTTTCTTTTTTGATAATCAGTTACACTCAAATGTTTGTCACAATACAGAAGATCTTTTGCTGCTTCCATTCCATCATGAAGCATCAATCTCAACTGGTTCTGAACCTTTTAATTATTAGACTAGGAGGGTGTTTACATGGCAACTTGTTTTATTTCAAAAAAGCAAGGAAGATCTTGTTTTCATTTCCTTTAAACATCAAATTGGGCTACTTTTAGGTAATACTAACTAGTTTTAAGGGGTCCTATTATACTTTTTCACTTTTTCAACTTTAGTTAGTCTGTAATGTTGCTGTTTGAGCATAAAAAAGATCTGCAAAGTTACAAAGCTCAAAGTCCACTTCAAAAGGAGATATTTTATTTAACAGAAATCACTTTTTAAAAACTACAATGAATGACTCGTTTGGACTACAACGCATATTTTCCGGGATTTACCTAGTATGAGAGCCTGTTCTAGTACACCCCCAAAACAAAATCAAGACTTTGTAAAAGAGCATAATAGGACCCCTTTAAGGCACAGGCTCTTACCTTGACTCAAGCTCTGCACACTACAAGACTCAAGCTTGATGCTTTTGATCTATTAGTCTGTATCCAGAAATTGCAGATCGTAGTTCATACCCACTCTTGTAGTGTGCACACTTCTGAGACACTGGTCGTAGGTGCTACGACATGATTTTGTCAGGCTTGCTTCAGACTTTGAAGCATGTTCCATTTAGTCTTCAACTGTGTTCACTATCCTGACAAGTGAGAGGGCAGTAATGAGCAACAGACAATGAAGCTAAAAGAAAGCAAGGCATTGGGAAACTGGTAAACAAAAAATAAATAGAAAAGCATCAAACTGCTCCAAACATCTCACCAAGTGCTGTTTCATCTATATTTTTAAACTCTGTTTCTTAGTTTTCCTGTTCTGTGCAATTCTGTATAACACAATTGCAATTGTTGTCTGTTTACAGTGTGAAGAAACACTTCTCCCGTTGCTTTGTAAGTAAGTTTGTGAGGGAATATATTCTGGGATCATTGCTTCAGTCGAGGCCTGCGATCAGTTGTGTAGTGTGCGCAGGGAAACATTTCTGTGTACTTGGCTTTATTTGATCATGCTGTCCAAATTTGTAGACATTTGCCTTTGTGACAGAGACAAACAAAGTTCATAACTTCAGATTGAATCAGCCCATCTACCCCTGTTCTGCAGACCAGGTAGAATAAAACATGCTCTTTCTTTCTCTCTCTCTTTTGTCCCACTATTTTTAGACGTACGAATGTATTGATCCTGGAATAGCTTTTATCTTGTGCTGCTCCCCTTTCAGATTAATTGTTTAATGTTTACAAATAATCAATATTCAATCAGAAGGTAGATGGGGTGACCATGTAGATGTAAGAAAATGCATAAAGGAAATGTATTCTGGACAAAGGGCCATTGTGAAACTTGGTCATGATAGACAACTCGTTCTTTGTCCCATTTGTCATTGTTGGGGAAAAATAGCTCCTAGTTTTTGGTCTTTAATAAGACAGAAGAGACTAAGAATGGATTGTGTTGAAGTGTAAGACAATGGACACAATACTTTCTCCATAGTTTGAGAGGAACCCACAATCCAGAGTGTTATGTTATTGAATCTTATCTTAGGTTGCTGGAGCTACATAGCTTTGCTGGCACATTAGTTGAAGAATGCAGACATTAAATTCTCTGAATTATTGTAATTAATAAGTTTGTTTCCTTAACTGCACTGATAGTTCCTTTTATTGAGGTCAAGATATACACCCCCCACAAAATTTAGGGGAAGTCATGGCCTAATGGTTAGAGAGTCGGACTCGTAACCCAAAGGTTGCGGGTTCGAGTCTCATACCGGCAGGGATTGAGGCATGTGGGAGTGAATGTACGGCTCTCTCCCACCTTCAATACCACGACTGAGGTGCCCTTGAGCAAGGCACCGAACCCTCAACTGCTCCCCGGGCGCCGCAGCAAAAAATGGCTGCCCACTGCTCCGGGTGTGTGTTCACTGTGTGTGTGTGCACTTTGGATGGGATAAATGCAGAGCACTAATTCTGAGTATGGGTCACCATACTTGGCCACATGTCAATTCACTTCACATGTCACTTCACTAGAGGTGTCCAATCCTGCTTCTGCAGGGCCACCTTCCTGCTAAGTTTGACTCCAGCACACCTGTCTGGAAGACCTTTGGGGCCAGTGGAACTTGATTAGTTGGTTCAGGCTAAACTCTGGTGAAAGGTTTAAAAGTCAAGAATGAGCTTTTTATAATCCACATAACAATATTTATGTATCACTACACATTTGGGGCCAGTGGAACTTTCAATGTCTTTCACAAAGCATTGCCATGTTGAGTTAAAGGGATAGCCTTGGAGAAACCTGGATCTGAGTGCCGTTTCTCAATGCTTCATTGGTGATAGATGATTGATCTCCCCTTTGAATCTCTAACCTGTTGGTTATAAACCCAGATCTTTTACCAATAAGCTAAGTATCTAGTCAATATCTGGTTAAGATCTGGTATACACCTATATATATTTGCTTGAGATTTTACTTCTATAAGCCACACTTGCTTGTCTCATTTGCCAGTTGTAATTTTTCATGTGCAGATGGGGCCAAAATTATGTGGCTTATACGAAATGAGCTTTCTGAATATTTAGACGAGCTTCACTTCTTTAATATTAGAAAAATGAACAACCCCATGATCAATTCTATGGATAGACTATGCAGTAAATCAGAGGTCCATGATGCTATAAACGGAAGGAAGATCAGTGCTTGGTCAAATCATTAGATTGGTACTGACAAGTTTTCCCGTTTTTCCCTGACTGATATCTTGCTTGTGAAATCATGTTCCATTTCATTTCATATACAATTCTCTTCCTACATCCTAAACGACCCATTATTAACCAGGCCTTGCCAGCTGCCACCAATCACACGCAAGCAGGACATTGTCATGGCACCTATCCACATTGGGGACGTCTCTTTTTGGACACTATAGAGAAAGAAAAGCAGAATGACAAATGAGTTTAGATGGATACTTAATTATATTTATGTGCAGCTCTTGATATTTTGCACATTAATTGTTCAATGCAAAATATAGGTTAATTTTACCTGACCATTTTCTGCTTACAAATGAAATTTCACTCTTTATGCAAATCCCCTGTGATTGGTTAGCCTCTTTGAATGTAAAATGCGTGGTTGCTCTATGCTTTTGATGTTCTGATTGTAGGTGTTTTATTAATGTTCTCATGGTTGTGTCGTCAATATGCTGACAATTTCTGAATGACAATTTTTTGCTGCTCTTGGAGCTGTGTATTCTGAACATTGGAGTACATAGAAATCCTGTTTTCACCAGGTTTAAGTGTTAAACATCGGTTAGGATAATTTCTTTTCCATGTGCATTTAGGAATAGGCATTTTCATATAGTATACAACCTCTAGAGTAGAAAGTCTGCTCCACTGTAAATTTGCTGGAAATACAGTATAACACTGTGCTAGACAAATGGAAATTACACTAACACAACCATGTTGACATGTCTGTGCTCTTCAGATATTGCACTGCCATCCCCCCCCACCCCCTGATTTCTGACCGCGAGTGATTCCATCAAGAGATAGCTGACCGAGGCCTCTGCAGGTCAACAGGCCATTTAGATCAATTCCACCTCATTGACACTGACTGAAAGTGCTCCGCTTTTTGTTCTATAGTGGAAGCACGGCGATCTAAAGTGCTATGGAAATTAGGTTTTCATATTTGTTGGTGATGTGGCCTAGTGTAATGTTTCCCAAACAGATGTACCTCAGGTTTCTTAAGGATTCTGCCCTTTTATATTTTACCTCCTAAATTGCAGCTCGGTTTTGCAAGCTCTAAGAAAGCCATTTTATTTTTATACATTCAAAATATACACCTAATTGTTAACATCCATTTTTGTCCATTTGTTTTTTCATCTGCTGACAGAATCACGATTTTTGGGACTGGAGCGAAATGGCTGTCTGTGTTGGAGGAGAGAAATCTGAAACCTGGTGAGCTGCATTGAATTACAATCCCTCTGTCTTCTCTCTTTCGTTTCTTCACTTTTTCTGTCATAATAGGATTGTCACTATACAATATTTCAGTAGTCAATACCAATACCAATACCAGTGATATTTTATATTTTTAATATCAATTTTGATACTGCTGCAAAAACAAATATGTTGTCGAGCACTACACATTTTATACTGCAAGACCTAATGTTCAGATTTTTTTGGCACATCATTTGCTTGTTTACAAATCTACCGTTTACCTTGTTAGAAAGCACTTTGTTGCATCTGTGAGGTAAATGCACCAAATCGGGTCTATACTCGGTACTTCCGATACTGTATAAAGACTAATAAATGTATATGTTTGTTTTTTTAAGCTTCAATTTTTGACACCCCTAGTACACATTAATTTCCCCACTTTCACAGCAGTCTCTAGATGCCCCTAACTCATTCACTAAACTGCATGTGCATGCTTGTGAATATTCAACAATGAGACAAACTGAAAGTGAATTAAAATGCAATTTACAGTGGAAGATGGAGTTTGTGTAACGACTGCCATGAGAGCAATCGATTTAGAGGTCTTTTTTTTTTTATAAAGAGTAACGGCAGGAACTCCTCTGATGAGGAGACAATTTTATGAGCACCTGTGGTTTCCCATGCAGAGATTAAAAAAACAACTTGAAATGAAATTCGACCCTGTTCAGTCAGGATACACAGCTACTCAAGAATGTCTGTCAATGGAAAAAGATGTAGCTGCGCCAATGCTAACCAGCAAAACCCTGACACCTTGGATGTAACTGGTGCTTTGTGAATTAAATTAAATTAATATTTAGTAAAATTAAATTAAAGTGATAGTTCACCCAAATAGGAAAATTCTGGCATTTACTCACCCTCAGTTTATTCCAAACCTGTTTGAGTTTGCTGAATGCGAAAGAAGGTATTTTGAAGATTGTGGGTAACCAAACAGTGCTGGTAGCCATTGACTTCCATATGAACAAAATTCATATTCATATTCATATTCAGTGCTTTGTGAATGCCAGTTCATGTCATCCTTAAAGATGAAGCTCTTGTTGTGTTTGAGGTATTGGAGGAATTTGTTTTGCATGTGTGTGGTTGAGTGGATTGTGTGTTGGGGGGTCAGAGACGTGCTTCCTGGCCCTCCGCTGCTCCCTTTGGCTGCTTGACATTTCAGAGCGACACCTGTTAGCCTGTGGGGTGTGGCACTGGCTCTGATAACCGGTGCGAGAGACCCTCTCTACATGGGACCCCAGATGGGTGGCCTGGCATGTCACATGCATACATTTCAGCACAGCTTAACGCGGTTCATAATTCTGAGCACTGTGAGCCATACCCATCTGCCTCCGGACTATAGACAGTCTGAATAGATGACAGCGAGCTGAGCTTTATACTTCAGGACTGTTTATAATGTAATGTAGAATTTGGGGCATATCAAAATTCCGCTTAAATGCATGCTATGGTAATTGCAAAACAAACAAAAAAACCATGCAAAACAAAAATAAATCCCCTAACTCCTCCAATACCTCAAACACACCAAGAGCTTCATCTTTAAAGACAACATGAACTGGCATTCACAAAGCATTGAATATGTTAGTTACAGAATGAAAATGTAGGGACATCGATCGGAATTTAAATATATGTGGTTATTATTGTTGATTTTCTTTTGAGGTCTTGCAAGCTGTAGTATTTCCTTTAGGAAATGCTTTTTTTATGATTTTGTTTTTCTTGACTATTCACAGCAAACACGCACAACCTGCAGACCCTCCACACACTCCTTTCTACAGGATCTCCATTGAAGCCTCCGAGCTATGAGTATGTGTACAGCTGTATTAAGAACAATGTGCTCCTGGGATCCATATCAGGTGAGCATTCTATTATATTCTATTCTATTACCTGCCTTTTTTCCTCCCTTCTTTCTTACTTTAAAAAAAAAAGAATACATATTTTTTTAAATTTCTTTTTACTTTGTTGATTTTCCTTTCCTTCCTTCCTTCCTTCCTTCATCCATCTCTCTCTCTCTCTCTCTCTTTCATTCTTTATTCTCCTCTTGATAGTACGGTGAGTGTGTGTGTGTGTGTGTTTTGCAGTGTGATCTCATGCCTGCAGGGCCCTGCGGAAACAAATTAGCATCAGCGTTAACAGCTGTGGTGGACTGCTGATTTTGTGTGCATGTGTGTGTGTTTGTTACAGAATGAAAATGTAGGGACATCGATCGGAATTTAAATATATGTGGTTATTATTGTTGATTTTCTTTTGAGGTCTTGCAAGCTGTAGTATTTCCTTTAGGAAATGCTTTTTTTATGATTTTGTTTTTCTTGACTATTCACAGCAAACACGCACAACCTGCAGACCCTCCACACACTCCTTTCTACAGGATCTCCATTGAAGCCTCCGAGCTATGAGTATGTGTACAGCTGTATTAAGAACAATGTGCTCCTGGGATCCATATCAGGTGAGCATTCTATTATATTCTATTCTATTACCTGCCTTTTTTCCTCCCTTCTTTCTTACTTTAAAAAAAAAAGAATACATATTTTTTTAAATTTCTTTTTACTTTGTTGATTTTCCTTTCCTTCCTTCCTTCCTTCCTTCATCCATCTCTCTCTCTCTCTCTCTCTTTCATTCTTTATTCTCCTCTTGATAGTACGGTGAGTGTGTGTGTGTGTGTGTTTTGCAGTGTGATCTCATGCCTGCAGGGCCCTGCGGAAACAAATTAGCATCAGCGTTAACAGCTGTGGTGGACTGCTGATTTTGTGTGCATGTGTGTGTGTTTGTAACTGGGGTCTCGCAGCATGTCTCTCTCACACACCACCTGTGCCCAGTTTCTCCCTGCGGTTTCACCAGATGAGCTTTGCTCTCATGGCAGGTCAGCGGTAGCCTGCTACAGTCATGTTATTCACAATGAACCTTTCGGAGCTGTTTGTTATTTAACTTCTTATGTGCAGTGCTTGTTCCTGGATGAGTTATTGCAAGGAATACAAGGAGGTTACAGCTATGCTATTTTTAGTCTTTGCTCTTTTATTATATTACATTTCCATTGCATTTATATTATATAAAATGGGTAGTTCTGGTCTTTGATGCGGTTTGGTCAATAGCCATGTTTTATTTACAAATATGATGATTCTCTTCACTGAACAGAATATGTAGCTATGATTTTTATATAGATTTTTAGTTTTTTCTCATTTATATTATATAATATTATACTATATGGAATATTACTGGAAAATATAATGGCTTTACAGTAGTAGCGATAACTGTGTTAAGTAATATATGGTTAATATGGTTATGATTAAAATGGTTATTATGATTTAGCATTGTAAATGTTTGAAAGATTTTAGTCAATGAACTTTTAGAATTTTGTTTAAAAATGTTCCGATTCTGAATCTAAAGTAGACAATTTGATCTTATTGTCTCAAATGAGTGATAGATTATGATGTGTTCTTTGCATATGTCTGCCATGAAGGCTTTTTGATTTGCCATTTGGCTCACATTTGATACCATGACAGCAATCTCATTGAATTCTGACATGTTTGCAGAGCACATGAGCCTCATAACTTTTCAGAAAAAGGCTTTGACTGACGTTTCTTGACTCCAGAGGTTTTTGAAATGTCAGGCTACCTAAAGATGTCTGCTGGAAAACAGCAGCGCAGCAACACGATGCTTGTCTTCAGCTCTGAGCTCAGATAGCCTGTTGACCCTCTGAAATACTGAGAACCCACTTTGTCTAGGATCATCGCTGCGCCCGCCTCCCCTCAGATACGTGACCTCTGCCAACCCGAGGCAGATTTGACCTTGACCCCAATGTCAAGCAGAGCATATGTGTCGAGGCTTGTTTCCCACCGCTCCTGTTACTGTGCCAGCCAGACTCCTGAGCGCAGAGGGGCAGCTGGCAGGAAGCTTTAACACTTTCAGCCACCCAGAATCACCTGAATCCAGTAGACCCCCCAATATCACCTACCATCTGTCACATACACACATAAACACACATATCTATTGTCCCAGCAACCTTTTTCACTTTTGCCTTTTTTATTTTTCTCCTGTTTTCTGTCTCTTTTATAATCTGACTTTATAGCCATTACATTTGTCAATTACCAAACAAAAATTCAGTTTCAAAAAAGGTTCAAAATATGTCAATGCGATTCATAACACAAGTGCCTATTGCATTTCTCATAATTGCCACAGGGGGCGCTATATTGTGCGTCAGTCTAAACTGTTATTGCCTTCAATCAGTTCCCTCTTTCAGGTCAACTGCTGTCATGGATGAGCAAAGGTTTGAGGAGAATCTTGCTGAGAAAGCTACTTCAAATCCACATTTATGGCTAGTTTTTGAGATCAGCTTATCACTTATGAAGACTCGGGATTATCTAAAGTATTATAAATTTTCTATGCAATTAATGGTACTTTAAACAGACCTTATGATACACAAATATGTAATATAAAAACTGCAACTTTGCAAAAAATTGTTTGTGACTGGCAAATTTGAATGTAAAAGTAGTTAATTTTGTAGTGTCACTCCTTTTATTTAGTTACTCTCCATCACTGATGGCTTATTACTTGTGTTTTTGGCTTTTTCTCTGCCATTAAAAAGATTGTTTGAGGCGTGATGAGGTTACGAAACAAGCATTTTATATTTGTAGAGAAGTATCGTGTGAGCCAGTTTCATTCCTGAAGAAAGCCTGAGTTTGTTGGACCAAATAGATATTTGTGCACCTTTGTTCAGCTTGTTCCTTTTGCTTTTATTGTGTCTGGTAAACAAATCAATAGGGAAGAGCTGCACTATAGAAACTGTGATCCATATAAATGGAGACAGGAGAACAAAGCTACCAGCAAATTATGCCAACAAGTTAATGAAAAATCCACTCTGTTTCCACAAAGTAAACTAAATTTCTAGAGCTTTTCATCTGTTCTGAAGATATTCTGAAACACGAAAGATCTGTCTGTCTTTGAATTTCTCCACAAACCTGTGAGATTTTCTTACCTTGAAGATTTTGATCATCTTTAAAAACTGAATATTAACATCTTTAATATTTCCTCAGGAGGCACAGACATCATTTCATGCTTCATGGGTCAGAACATGACGGTGCCTGTTTACAGAGGGGAAATTCAGGCCCGAAATCTGGGCATGGCTGTGGAGTCCTGGAACTGTGAAGGTGAGATATAGCTCATGTTTATCTCTGATTTATGGTCAAGACACAGAGGTCTTTTATTTTATTGTATTATTATTGTATTATTTTTTATATAAAATTAATAGTTTGGGATCTGAAATCTGATTTGATTAGATTCACAAGTAGTTAAATTTAAAAAATCCTTCCGACACCAATATTTATAAGAAATTAATACTTTTATTTAAGACTTTAAATTCATCAAAGATTCTTGAAAAAATATATATCATTGTTTCCACAAAAATATTAAGCGGCACAACTGTTTTCAACATTGGAAATAATATGACGTACAAATCAGCATATTAGATTGATCTTTGAAGGACAGAGAGACACACTGAAGACTGGAGTAATGGCTGCTGAAAATTTAGCTTTGCAATCATAGGCATAAATTACATTTTAAAATGTATATTTAAATAGAAAAGTTATTTTAAATTGTAATAATATTTCACAGTAAAAAAGCTCACTAACCCCAAGATTTTGAATGGTAGTGTAGATTTATTATGTAAATAATATATATTATTTAAAGCATAGATATTTTACAACATCACCTACAATAATGCTAAGAACCTAAAATAACTGGCAGAAGAATGATTAAATAAATGTAATTTATTACCCCTTAACATTGGTAAAAACACTTCCTTTGTAGCTTATTGCTTCAATAAAGCGGTTGTGTTTGGTGTGTATTTCAGGTAAGTCTGTTTGGGGCGAGAGTGGGGAGCTAGTGTGTTTGAAGCCCATCCCGTGCCAGCCCACTCATTTTTGGAACGACGAGAATGGCAGCAAATACCACAAAGCCTACTTTTCTACCTTCCCAGGTAACCCTTCACATGACATCACCCTAGATCTCTTTCAAAATCTAGTGAACTGCCTCCATAGGCAGCATTTTAAGATATTATAGGCATCATTGCAAAATGCATTGCTTCAGACTCATTGCTCGTAGCCTATAGAGGCTCACAGATGCACTCTGTTGCCTTCCTTCAAAGCTCTTAAATGGTGAAGTGGTCACGGTGAAGTGTGTTTTCTGACTGATTTAGAAAGCAAAGGAGTCATCCCTTTGATTTGGAAAACAAACATGCCGCTTCAGTTTGTTCAGAAGACTCTGCAGCTTTTCCGCCGTATTGATTAAATGATTTCTGAGGGCAAAAAGGGGAAAAAAAAGAACCTGCCAGCTTTTGTTAGCACGAAAAATCTCCTTGAAGCCTTATTGCTGTCAGTTTGGAGATGTAGGAAAAGGCCAATCAGGACAGTTCAGCCTCATTAGCGTTCTCAGGCCGTCAGCGGTCAAGATACACAACAGCTGCTTCTTTCTATAACTATTTGTTAATCCTTTCTCAATCCATTTATTTGTGTGTATCTCCTCATTCAGGAGTCTGGGCCCATGGTGATTACTGTAAGATAAATCCAAAAACGGGAGGAGTCGTCATGCTGGGGAGAAGGTAAGTCTCGCTTTTTGTTCTGCTTTGTTGTATTGAAGATTTTGATCATCTTCTTTTGTTTATACTTATAATATTGCTTTGTTACTGTATTATGATACTCTTTGATTAGTAATGCACCTAAATGGTATAAAGCACTATTTGTTCTGTCTGTATTTTCAGTGATGGAACCTTGAATCCTAATGGTGTTCGGTTTGGGAGCTCAGAAATTTATAACATTGGTGAGAAATAAATACACACTTTTTCCTGTTTAAAAAAAGTAGACTAGTTTGGACTGGTTTAGAACAGGCTAAATTATCAAGTGGTTTTAATCTTTCTCAAAATATACAATATATTGGTACCATAATGGTTATTAGTGAATATTCACTATCGTTAAAAGGTTTGGGTTGTGTACATTTTTTTTAAGCTCACCAAGACAGCATTTATTTGATCAAAACCAACTTTAAAATGGTAATATTGTGAAACATTATTACAATGGCAGGGCTGAATTTTAAGCAGCCATTACTCCAGTCTTTAGTGTCACATGATCTTTCTGAATTGATTTAATAATAATAATAATAATAAGTTTAATTTATATAGTGCCTTTCCCAAGCTCAAGGACGCTGCACAATGACAAAAGCAAATAAACAATCATGTTATACATAGATGGACAAGACATTTGCCAAGTCCAGAACGTGCGGTTGCAGTTGCATACCACAGTAATAATACAGTATCATAATCAAAAAAAATATATAATTTAATTAAAAAGATTTAATTTCTTCTTCTTATTATTATTATTATCTTATTATTAACATTTCTTACTATTATCCATCTTGAAAACAGTTTGGAAACTGCTTAATGTTTTTGTGTAAACCATGATACATTATTTTGTACTTTGATAAATAGAAAGTTAAAAAAAACTGCATTTATTTGAAATGGAACTCTTTTGTAAAAACGTAAAAATCTTTACTTTTTTTATCAATTTAATGCGTCCTTGCTGAATGAAATTATTAATTTCTTACAAAAAAAACAAAATTAACTGACCCCAAACATTTGAACGGTAGTGTATATTTATTGGTATCAGTCAATATCTGATGCATATCAGCTGATATGAAATATTTAATTGTGCATGTGTCTCACTTAAAGTTAGTATTTGAAAACAAATAAATGAATAACATTGTTAAATGTTATCTCATCTTTAGAAAGTCTAAAAAAAAAAAATCTAATTTCCATACAGTATGTTATTTTGTTGTGATTGCATTTGCAACAATTTCAGTTTTTAGTGATTAATTTTTCATTTAAACAACAAAATGTATAGAATTTTATCTAAATAATTATATATGCTGGTAATTATTTTTCATGTTATCAGCCATACCATGAAAATAATTATCAACATATATAATTATTTAGAACGTGCTAACATAGTAGTAAGACAGCATTTAAGACCCTTGTTATGCCCTCTCTCCAAACAGTGGAAGCCTTTGAGGAAGTGTCCGACAGCCTTTGTGTCCCTCAGTACAACAGTGATGGAGAGGAGAGGGTGATTCTGTTCTTAAAGATGGGACCCAAAAACACCTTCAGTCAAGAGCTAGTGGGGAAGATCCGCGGTGCTATCAGAGTAGCTCTATCTGCCCGACACGTACCAGCCTTGATACTGGAGACCAAAGACATCCCGGTGAGCTCAATTTGCGCATTCATTCTTTCACTTGCTTTATTTTCTGCTTCTATTTTCTGTACTTTTCCACCTGATTGACTTCACATTTCTTCTGCCTGCAGTACACTATCAGCGGAAAGAAGGTCGAAGTTGCTGTAAAGCAGGTGATCGCAGGTAAGGACGTCACTCAGCGAGGGGCCTTCTCAAACCCAGACTCCTTGGACCTCTTCAAGAACCTACCTGAACTCCAGAACTTCTGAGCGCCTGCATGAGGTACATCTGAACTCCTGAAAGTCCTGTGTTTCTGGGCCCCTTCGAAGGGTTCAGATTCTCTGGCCACCTGTTGGAACTTTGCACCATCTGGAGGAATTTCTAGAGCTTTCAAACATCAAAGTTCTTCGTTTTATCTACCTGTTGTGGAAAACTCAGCTACTAATTGGAACTGATGGAGTCCGTACATGTAACACTTCCTCAAAAGTGTAACTGGGTTCCTCTTGGGTAGAAAGTTGAGTGCCATTTTATGAGATTCCAACTTGGATCTCAAAGGGACATTTTATCTATTCTGTTGTTGCGTCCACCAAGCATTATTTCCAAGAGACGTACCGAACTCGCAAGTGATTTACAAATCAGTTTTCTTAGTCTACCGTGTCAGTCCCATATTTTCCCTCTCATATTTTGATACAATGTCACTTTGACCTTAATGAAGTTCTAGGAAAATATGGCCATGTATCTTTTGTAAGCGAAAAATGACACCATTTATGCTCATAAATCTTCATGAGTTAAATACACTGATATGTTACTGAACATCACAAATTTAAGGTTATTTTTCTTGTCAAAGATGAGAGCCATTTCTCTAGTAATACTGACTGTCTGGGTCAAATCAACTGTTTTCCGGAACTAATAACTTTATGAAGCAAAATTTACTGATACAGTTTCCTGAATTACAAACTTGCTGTAATAAAGTCAATGCAACTTTTCCAAATTTTCCCCCAAAGCCTGACTTCCTCTCTGGGAAAAAAGAATATATTTATATTTTTTAATAATATCCTATGAGTAAATAGTGATTCATCACATCTGCTGTATTTGTAGAGTATATTATACTGTCCCGAACTACTCACTGTTGTCTACTGAGTGTAGATTTACCTGAAGCTGATGTAGCTCACTGGCCAAAAAGATTTCCATATATTTTTTACATGTATACTGTATATATTTGATTCCGTAAATGCAGCTGCATGTTGTGTGCTACACTAGATGCCCCTTCGCAATGACACTATTTGATCTCTTTCGGTACGCCTTATATCAGGTTGTGAAAAGTTTTCATCAACTGAAGCTCATCTTCATTCTTTGAGCCCTTCTTTGGTATATAGCTTTGTCTGTGCCGTCCCCAAATGTGCCGGCTTAGTCTATTTCTTCATGTGTCCCATCCACACATCCAGGGACTGTCGCTGTAGGCATATCCCATGAGGCATTCCTCCATTACGTTTCAACCCAATACATTTATCATCAGAACACTGCGCACATATGAAAAAGCTGCATTTGTTTGTTGTTTGAAGTTTTGAAAGTCAGCAAGACCGTTGCAATGACATGAAATCCAGTTAACCGTGTAATATTAGATTATTTGATTATATGTTTGCATTAGGAGTAAAAAGAAGAAATTCTGGGCAGTCGAAATGTCTAGGATATAATCTAAAACCACAATGAAAAATAGAAAATATCGATTTATGTTGGATCAGATTCGAGCTGGTTGACATGTACTGATGGTGCATTTACACTTGCTTTGCAGCATATCACAGAAATATTTACCAACACGTTTCACAGAAGCAGGCTTCCATCCAGAAAATATTTTTTTTAGTGACACTGAGAGAGGATGTGCTGCAACTGCTCGCAACAAATACCAGAAAATGTGCTGCGTTTGAATAATTTAAAAATAATTTTGTGCTAATAATGTTATTTCAGCAGTTGTTTACAACAGAGAAGCCTTGCAGGCTAGTATTGATGTACATTTCAAGTTTTAATGGGTCATATTTTTGGGGCAAGTTTTTGACCTCAGTGAGGACTCCTTACTTGGTTTCCTAAAAGAAACTACGCACTACAGAGTTAAAAAAAAAACGCTTTTTATATATGATAAAGCTTAGACAAAATTCAAAACGGTGGACGGGCCCTTTAAGAGGCTCATTTCTTTGAAATTGAAATCATTCGGTATAGAGGTGCAGATGGCAAGCAGTTGTGCAGATCGCTTGAATTAAATCGGTCCTTATTTCCGCTTCAGACAAGCAGGGACGGATCTGTTTCACCTCATGCCAACCCTTGTGCCACCATATGCCCCATATCTGCTCAGTTTTGCTGACAGGACTTGCCTGGTCTGGGACTGTGCGCATAAGGAAAGCTACCAAATCCTTATTTATCGATAGTCACTGTAAATTTCGCTGTACATTACCACTTTGTCCCCCAAAATTGATTTCATTTTTCCATACTCAGCAATTTCATAAACATTCCACGGAGATCTATTCCATTTTATTACCATGTTGTTGTTGTTGTTTTTTTCCTTTTTGATACATGGAAATGGAAATACTGGAAATATCATTTTTGTTTAGGTCCTTATTATTGTATTACATTAAATGTATTTGGTGTATTACTAGTAAATGAAAGGTGCTCTCTTCTCGGTGGCTAATGCAATATTCCTGCTTCGAAATAATATAATTGTACATCGCTTAATGTGAATAATGATTACTAATATAGCTGAGAATATATTTGTTATGAATATATTATGCCTATATACTGTATATCAATGGACCACTTCAGTTGTGTCCACTAGGAGCATACATGTATTTCATGTATATCAATACTTATTGTACTCCTAATTAAAGAACTAAGAAATAATTCTGGTCTGCTGTAATTTTTTTAATTAATTAATTAATTTCTTTTATCTTGCATGAATTGGTTGCACGGTCTGTCTCTGTCTGTCGGTCGGTCGGCTCTCTCTCTCTGTCTCTCTCTCTCAATTCAATTCAATTCAAAATTGCTGATACAATATTGCCAAAGCTTAGTATACATGTACAAAAAGATAATAATATAATAATAATAATAATTAAATGAACATCACAGTAATAGAATTGAATATTATAACATCCTAGAAATATTAAACTGTAACAAATTATAACGTGTGAACATTTGATACCACAGTCTTTAACTTACATAGAAACACATACATACTTCGGATCACTGTGGTGGACAGTAGGGTAACACACTGAGGTCAGACACAACTCTCTCTCTCTCTCTTTCTCTCTCTCACACACACACGCATTCACCTGCTGCCTCTCTCTTTCTCTCTCTCACACACACGCATTCACCTGCTGCCTCTCTCTCTCTCTCTCACTCACACACACACACACACACACACATTCACCTGCTGTCTCTCAGGCTGTGGCACATCTACACGTATCTCGCAGCCAGTCTATACAATTGTCTATATATATATAGACAATTGTAGTCTATATATATATATATATATATAGACTACAATTAAAAGTAGATTTTTCAACGGCCGGTCACTGCAGGATCCCAGAACTCCTCTCGAAAATAAAAGGTGCGGTGGTCGCCTCATTTTAAAACAGATTCATCTCACTCTCCACCCTGATGTTTTCAATGTGATGATCAAAAATGAAATCCTATCTGTGAGAGAGAGAGTGAGAAAGAGAGAGACAGCCTGAACTTAAATGAAAGGTTTCAAAGATCAGGCAACACCATCCCCATATGAATGCCGTCATTTATAGTAAGAAAAGACGAGACAAATTTATGCGGGTTCAATTTTGAAGAAGGAAGGAAGGAAGAGAAGAGGGCCGGAGGGTCAGGTGCATGAGTGCGTGTGAAGTATTGTCACCCGTCTTCCTAGAGATGATTGAAATGTTCAGGCTTGTCTGTCAGCAAATTGCCTCTGCTCAACATGTAATCTGTCGACTGGCCTCTCGCAGAGAGCGTTTTACATCTGAGTGTGAGTGTGTTTAAATGGAAGGGTAGGGGGGTATTCATTTTGAAGCGGATGGAAAAAGGAGACGAGGTCTGACAGAAACATGAACACGGAGGGGGAGCGCCGGTGTGATGAAGGACGTTCCTGTTTCCCATTAAGTCATCTTTTGATATCTCTGATCATGACAAATCACAGCATAGTGGAAAATCCTTGTGATGTAAACTCTGATTAAAACCACAATGCAAAATATGCGCATACATATAAGCTCTGCTCCAAAACTTAGTGAACTTTCTACTGGCACTTTGAAAGGGAGCATCTTAACAGAACCTCATAACTGACTGATTTGAAATGCTCTACATATAAATGCTTAACATAAATAGTTCTCTGCATGAGAGTTTAACTCAATTTTACATTTTTATGTCTCTCTGTATATTATTACTATTATAAAAACAATAAAAAATAAAATAAATTGTAATAATATGTAACCCCTTTTCCCAGTGCTGGTTATAGGTAGCTAAACTACTTTAAAAATTGTAACATAGGATGGGGCCCTGGGTGTGGTTTGAAAATAAATACTAATAAAACAAATAACTCAGGTGTTACGTTTCTTTTTGTAACTATTGTTTTTACACAACACTTATTGACGGTGCCTCCCTTTTATGTAGTAATTTCACGTTTAATTCCAAATATCCCATTAAAATGGGATCTTTTAATTAACTGTTGTAAACTCAAACACAACAAATGTGAATGGGAGAAATTATATACAATTTACTGAAGTAAACTTGAAATTAAAAGTATTCAGTATAGACAATTAAATATGAAACTGAAAATAAAAGCAAATAGTTAAACAATATACACTATAAAAAGCAGTTTCAATATAAACCCTCTGTTCAACTGACACCAAGATAAATGACATTGAAAATCAGTAGAAGGTCTATGACATTAAATTAAGTGGGCCCACACACATACATCTGTCTCTTGTTCACTCAGTCTTAAACAAAATAAATCGTTGCAGGCCTGGGACGTGGCTTGAGAGCGTGGTGTCCAAAAACAAAAACTGGCCGCTTCACTTTAAAAGCAACACAAAATGTTTAACTGCACGTACTTTATAGTACTCACGACCTGAGAAGCTGTATCTAGTCCAGTGACCACGAACAACAGGCACAACTGTACAGGGCGGCAAGTTCAGCAGATACGGGATCCAGTGAAGAGTATTCAGCGCCACAACTCATCAAAGAAAACTTCTTTTTCCATGGATCAGGAGATTTTCCCGGTCAATAAACAAATGGCTAAAGAAACAACTGTCCGTTTCCTTTAAACAAGTAGATAAGCATCCCAGAAGAGCACAACGATTTGTCATCCATATTACTGGGTGTACTTTATCATATTTGTAGAGAACTAACGTGGATTGCAAGTTCCTTTAACTTTCTCCTTACAAGCTGCAATTGCTGCGCACATCTCCTAAACCCCGCCCACTCAGGAACAGTAAACACTGAAAATAACCCAATCAGAGACCAGTAAAATGAAGATGAGCAGGCATTCTAGTGCAAACAAGTTAGGGTGTATGAACCCATGTAAATTTGAGTACCTTAAAACTAAACGTATTAACCTTTTGCAGTCTGTATTTCTATATGCATATGAATAAAATCCCATCTGGGCTACAAATATATATAATACAATACATATAAATAATACATAGATACTGTTTATATAAATACCATATATTTATATAAATAATTAGTAGGCTTCTTTTTATTACTATTTAGGCACGAACAGGTTTCTGTTCTTGTTTATACATATTAGCTAAAATAACAAAATTAACTCTAGCATCATTTATTTGAAGATGTTACATAGGTGGATATTTTATCTAAAGCACCAAAATTAATTAGATTACTAAATTGGCATATTCCAAAGATTGTGTTGTGTACATTACTGTTTAAAAGTTTGAAAATATATATTTTTTATTTATACTCGGCAAGGATGCAATAAATTGATCAAAAGTGACAGTAAAGATGTTACAACATTTCTATTTTAAATAAATGCTGTCCATTTGAACTTTTTATTTATCAAATATAATTTAAATAATGAAATATATAAGGTTTTCATATTGCTCTGGTTAAGTGTAAGCTAGGACCAAATGTGTGCACTGATCTGTATTCATTGTATTCCTTGTGTGTGTTTGTTCAGGTATGTTGATGACATGCATGTGCTGCAAACATCAAACATCGGATGTCGGGTCATCTGTGGACAGGTGGTGTAGTTCATGTGTGTATCCGAGAAACAGATGAAAGTGGAGAGTTCCTGCTGGTGATGTAGTTCATGATGTCGAATAAAGAGCAGCCGAGTGCATTTTCCACTCCATTACATTCACTGTACAAAAGCCTGTAGCTGCTGCCGAAAGAAGCGGCACCAAACCATCTTCAGCACACACACACACACACACACACACCTGCATATACAGGCTGCATTCAAAATTACACATGCAACATCTTTATGACACATAAAGATGTGTCAAAACATATGGCTAATTTCAAATAAAAGTTATATTAAAAGCCACATCACCTCTCAGGCCACATGAAGGACACTCAAAAGTATAATTTAAAATGCTCACAAAATGCAATGGTAGCCATAATAGTCTTTTCAAAAACCCACTGAGAGCTGCCCGACATGCTTCATATTTCTCTTTCCCTCTCACCTGGTCAGTAGTTCACTTAAGAGCACTCTTGGAATGAGTTAAAATGTAGGAAAGGAAAAGAGTTCACACAAAAGCGAGAGGTCACAGTTACAGAATGCTGCAGAAGCACTGGAAAAATGTGATCAAAATGTGCCTTGGCTGTTGCTGTTGTATTTACACATTTCCAAATTCGTTCTTGTATTTGTGTTTAGCTTTGCATCATTGAAAGCATTTTAAAGGAAAATGAAAATTTGCAAAAAAAAATGTTCTCACCCTCAGGCCATCCAAGATGTAGATTCGTAATTTAGCATTACATCACTTGCTCAACAACGGATCCTCTGCAGTGAATGGGTGCCGTCAGAATGAAAGTTTAAACAGCTGATAAAACATCACAATAATAAACATGTAAGTAATCCACAAGCTGCGCGTTTGTAATGAACAAATCCATCATTAAAACATTTTTAACTTCACACCATGGCTTTCATCTAAAATTCGATTCCTCTATTCATAATGTTGCTTTCTCCAGGGAAAAAGTTGTCTCATCTGAATCAGGAGAGAAATATGCACGGTTGGCTTTGATGTGAGAGGAGAACAGGGGAAGGACTTTTTCTCTGGAGCAAGCGGTATTATTGATTATGGACTGGATATTTTGGCCAGAAGTGACAGTTTAAAGTTAAACCACCTTAATGATAGATTTGTTTCTTACAAACATGCAGCTTTTCACTTAGTTGTGGATTATGGAGATGTTTATATCAGCTGTTTGGACTCTCAATCTGATGGCACCCGTGTGATGTAATGCTAAATTTATCCAAATCTGTTCTGATGAAGAAACAAACTCTTCTACATCTTGGATGGCCTGAGGGTGAGTACATTTTCAGCACATTTTCATTGTTGGGTGAACAATTCATTTAGTATTATTGTTACCAATTTATATAAATAAATAATGGCTTACATTACCATGTTAACTGGTGATGAGAAAAAAATTTATATGGGAGAAAAAAAAATATATATTTAAATTTTGTGTTCCCCCAAAAAACTTTGAGTTTGCTCATAAAACTTTTACATTCTCTGAGAAACTTTGCGATCACTCATAAAACTTTTACTTTGCCCAAGAAACTTTGCATTCATTCATAAAACTTTTGCGTTCCCGAGAAATGCAAAGTTTTTCAGGGGAGCGCAACAATTTTGTGAGAGAACACATAAGGTTTGCATTTGCAAGTCCTCCCATTTTCATCACTATATGTCTCCAGGGCTCCATATTCATTCATAACGTGAGTAAATGAATATGTGGACATGAAATATTAATCATTGTATAAGTTTCACTAAGATAAAAAGCATTACAATGTACAAAACAATATTACAATACAGTACTGAAGTCCTCTGAGGTCATTTTCACTTTGCGGCAGTTGCTTTTGCATGAAACAGTATAACTCTAAACTATAGATTTATGAAAAATAAATTGGTTGAGCAATCAGTTGGCTTTTTGAGACATTTTACAGCCACCTATAGACAAACGATTCAATGATTTGCTATTCTAGTTTCACAAACATAAACTGAAATGTCCATCTGTTGTTCTCATTTAGAGAAGTGGCCATCAAAAACAAAGAAAAGCATCACATTTCTAAAAATGACATGCTACTTGAAGCATGTGCCAGCCCAGCGGATGTCATAGCTCAGTGACTTTGGAGCCTGTGCACAACATCAACTGTAGCGTTTGAATGTTTTATCCTCATGCATTGAGATTTCCTTTGTTTGCCAGCCAGCAGGGGTGTTACTGGAAGCGTTGCTGAGGTGTTGCAGTTCTCTAAACCCTGTCTGGATTAGAAAGATAACATTCATAATGTCGCTGTGCCTACTCACGCTGGTCATGAGGTTTTGAGTGTTTATACTGTACGTGTTTGAGTGCATGCAGAGCAATTTTAACCAACGATGTGGAGCAGGTGAATGCCACACAATGTAGCAGACTCTTAGCACTAAATTGCGGCAAAGACATAAATATATGAATGTAGGCTATACTATACATTATGTGCAACTGTGTATAGATGTGTATGTATTGTAAAAACAACTGACAGTGTATTCACTTGTGGGTGATATTTCATACTCACTGAGCTTCTGTTTAAATTTTAAGTTCGACTTTACTTTTGTTGTATGGGTTTCATTTAAATAAATGTACCATTAGGTCATTCTCAGAGGGAGTTTCTCTACAACTGGAGAAAGCAATATTATGGATAAAGGATTAGTGTTTTAGCTGGAAGCAATTGATTAAAATTTAAAATGTGGATTATTTTGATGTTTTTATGAGCTGTTTGGACTCTCATTCTGACAGCACCCAGTCACTGCAGAGGATCCATTGATGAGCAAGAGATTTAATGCTAAATTTCTCCAAATCTGCTGATGAAGAAACAAATTAGTCTACAGTATATCTTGGATGGCCTGAGGGGGAGTAAATTTAATTTAATTTAATTTTAATTTATTTTATTAATTTTATTTTATTCTGGTTAACTATTCCTTTAAAAAGAGAGGAAGCTACATCAGTCTGTTTTTTCCACAGTTTAAATAGCATTCAGTTTAAAAGGGAATCATGGTAATACCTTCTTTCTTACAATATTCTTTATAATGGTACATATATAAGTTAGAGGAACATACTAGTTTGGAGCAGATGATGAAGTACTTGAAACTTATTGATGTGGCCTACAAAGCACAAGAAAGGTTGGGAAAATAGCTACTGCTCCAGAGGGTTCATAAAGATTTGCACTTGAGGGCCAAAAAGCCCCAGGAGTGAGTACCAGAGGTCTGCTGCTCAACCCGAGCCTGTAGTGAAAACTGTTGCTGGACACCAGTGTTGTGCTTTGGATGCTAATGTGCTGGCATTCCTAACAGGCAACCAGTTTCACCAGAAGCAAGGACGACCAACTTCACCAACAACATGACAGTCCACGTTCTCTACTGTAGATAAACCAGCACAAAACCAATACAAATCAGCATAAACCAGTCTGGACCAGCATTTTAATTCCTGATGCTTGTCTTTCAACAGGGAAGTTTGGGTTTGTGAAGGTTTCATAAGGTTGGGGTTCATAATTGTGACCTGCTCCATCATTTTGAGTCACTTTGACCCAGAAACACACTTCTTATGCACCAGTAAAAAGGAACAATTCAACTTTTTAAAATGAAATTATGATGTTTCTACTCCAAACTACTTCTGACATAATTTAAATGTTGGCCAATGTTTTTACCGGGAGTACAAATAATTCTAAATGTATTTCTAGGTCAAAGTGACTGAAAAAGATGGAGCATATCTCACACACACACACACACACACACACACACACACACATACACACACGTACTCTTGCATATGTGGTTTACGGGGACTCTCCATAGGCGTAATGGTTTTTATACTGTACAAACTATATTTTTTTATCGCCCTACACCTAAACCTACCCCTCACAGAAAACTACTGGCAATATTTTAATTTCATAAAACACAATTTAGTATGTTTTTTAAGCCTTTTGGTTTATGGGGACACAGGAAGTGTCCTCATAAACCATGTTTACATTGTAGTACCCATGTCATTATACACATTTGTGTCCTCATAAACCATATATACAATAAGAACAATTTAGTATGTTTTTTAAGCCTTTTGGTTTATGGGGACACAGGAAGTGTCCTCATAAACCATGTTTACGTTGTAGTACCCATGTCATTATACACATTTGTGTCCTCATAAACCATATATACCATAAGACACACACACACAAA